ACTTTGAAGTAGCATAAGGCAAAAGCATTCCAAACGGTTAACTTTCTGGCATCAGGCCGGAAGGACTCTCCAGTTCCAACACAGAGTGGGTAGCCTTTTGTCTCCATAAACCCTGATCAGAGGGAGGCTTAACCCTTCAAACTGGAAACCGTAATGACTTCCTGCTTCTGTGGTTGGTTAAAATAATAAACCCGAAACTACGCTAAATAACCTGAATTAGACACATGCTATTTCTCAACTAAAATAAAATTTGCCTTTGGACTAAGTTGTTTGAGGATGTTGAACTAAATGGTCAGATGGAGAAATAGGTGGTACTGGCAGTGTTGAAGACAAAGCTTTCACTGGAGAAACCCAGTCTGCTTGACCCTTGCTGGTTCCTCCTGGGAGACTAAGGTAAACAAAGATGAGGGCAAAACCCAACCCAACTGTTAGGAACAGCAATCCTGTTTAGGACACGAATTGTACATTAAACGTGGGATTAATGAAGTCATTAGCAACTCAGTTCTTGCTTGTGGATCCAGGGGAATGAGTTTGCCGTCTCTTTTCTGTAAACTCATTTATTTCATTTGCAGCCTGAATCCTCACTAGCTGCTCCCATCCTCATGTCCCACCACCTGCTGGACATCTCAGAGAGGCCCTGTACTTGTCAAGCACATCAGGCCTGAACCATTAATTAGCACCCCCAGCCCCTCTCCAAGTATACTCTTGCTCATGTGCTCTCTGCCTCCATTCACTGCACAACCTCTTCTCTGGTGGGAACCCCAGTTATCACTGATATTTCCTCTCTCCCCCGCTCTCTAGACTGCTACCCCTGAACCTCATTGACCTCTCTCCAGATGCCTTTTCTTCCTCTGCCTTGAATGAGGTCCTTCACTTCAGCAATAAAAGCCTGTAGGTGTATTTTCCCTGTATCTTTCCTCTTCAGGCAGTTCTTTACATGAGAGTAAGATCTCTTTAACTTTGCATGTCATACTGGTTTGGTGGTGATGAACTCCTTTAGCTTTTCCTTGTTTGGGAAGCTCTTTATCTGGCCTTCAATTCTACATGATAGCTTTGCTGGGTAGAGTAATCTTGGTTGCAGGTCCTTGCTATTCATCACTTTGAATATTTCTTGCCACTCCCTTCTGGCCTGCATAGTTTCTGTTGAGAAATCAGCTGACAGTTGTATGGGAGCTCTCTTGTAGCTAACTTAACTAGCTGCTTTTCTCTTGCTGCTTTTAAGATTCTCTTTGTCTTTAACCTGTGGCATTTTAATTATGATGTGTTTTGATATGAGAATTTTGGGGATAATCACTCAAGTTTTATAATATCTAATCACTAGAGTGACATATAATATTGTATGTCAACTATAATTGAAAAGCAAACAAAAAAATAATTTATATGAAAATTTAAAAAGACAAAGTGAGATCTTAAAGCAGGAATCAAACCCTGTTGATCTTCCTCCTTAAAGAGTTCCACTGGTTCTCAGAGTTGGTAGTTTCTCCCTCCCAACATGGCATCCACTTTTCATTTGTGGTCGGATTGTGATCATAGCAGCAGGTCTCACCCTGGCTGCCCACAAAGTGCTCAGGCCAAGCACAGGCCAATTAAATCATAGCCTCTGGGAATGGGTCCCAGGTGATTGTACCATGCAGCCCCAGCCCCAGGAGGACACAGCCTGCTGTGCTGCTGCTACATCCCATTCCACCAATGTGGCTTCACAACAAGCTCCCAGCCAGTCCTGACTAGAGGGAAGTATCAATTTTGAGTCACTGTCAGGCAGCTATCCTCACTTTCCTGAACTGAGCCCTGCCCAGCCTCCATTCTCTGCCTGTGTATGCCATTTCTTAAACCTAGAATACCTTCTCATAACCTAGTAAGATGTCATTCCTCATATTATTTTAGTTTAAAATGCCACGGTCCCAATTAGAATTAGTCACCTATGACAAGACTTAACATGGGACATAAAGTTAGGGAGCACTGGATAAATGTTTGTTGAAATGCAATTACATGTTTCTGAATATGGATTCTGGCTGCTGGATACCGAAGCTTTAGGGCCACTGGAACTAGCCAGACAACTAACACTAATCAAGGAAAAACCTTTAGTCCTTAGTTACAGGAAAGTGGATACACGGGTCATTCAACCTAATATGTTTTTTATTACTGGTTTGTTAGTTTTTCATCATTATTTTAACAAGCTATAGATTTATCATACTTCCATAATCAATGTGTTCCTGAGAGAACATTTAAACACTGAGATGCATAGTATTTTAACACTTTTTACTAAATAACTTGGTTGAAGGGAATCCAGCACACACCAGACACTAGTGTAACAGTTCCCACAAATACAACTAAATCGAGATGTGGCTGTTATTGTTTCTAGTCTAATTTTTAAAGCTTCACAGCATACAGAAAAGCTATTTCAGTCTCAGAAGAGTAATCTTGGCTGTAGGTCCTTGCTATTCATCACTTTGAATATTTCTTGCCACTCCCTTCTGGTCTGATATGTTTCTGTTAAGAAATCAGCTGACAGTCCTATGGGCCATCCCTTGTAACTAACTGCTTTTCTCTTGCTGCTTTTAAGATTATCTCTTTGTATTTACCGTTGGCATTTTGCTTATGATGTGTCCTGGTGTGGGCCTCTTTGGGTTCCTTTTGTTTGGGATTCTCTGTGCTTCCTAGACTTGTAAGTCTATTTCTTTCACCAGGTAAGGGAAGTTTTTTATCATTGTTTCTTCAAATAGGTTTTCAACACTTGCTCTCTCTCTTCTCCTTATAGCACCCCTATAATGTAAATACTGGTACACTTGAAGTTGTCCCAGAGACTCCTTACATTATCTTCATACTTTTGGATTCTTTTTTCTTCTTGTTACTGTGATTGGGTGTTTTTTGCTTTCTCATATCCCAAATCATTGATATTTATACTCTACTGTTGAATTCCTATAAATTATTCTTTATTTAAGTTTGTGTATGCTTAATTTTTTACTGATGTGTGGGGTTTTTTTTATGACTTTGACATTCTCACTAAAATCCTTGAAAGTCTCATAAAGAGCCTTGAGTAACCTTATAACCATGGTTTTGAACTCTGTATGCAAGTAGTTTGCTTTCTTCCATTTCTTCCATTTGTGACATGTTTCTTTGTTTCTGCATTTTGGCTGCTTCTCTGTGTTTGTTTTTGTGGATTCAGTATAGCTGCTGTGTCTCCTGGAATTGGTAGAATGGCCTTGTGTAATAGATGTCCTGCAGGGCCCAGTGGCTCCGCCTCTGCAGTCACCTGAGCTGGGCACTTTAAGTCTGCCCCTGTGTGGGCTATGTACAGTTTTGTAGTTGAGCCTTGATTGCTGTTGGCATCACTGGGAGAAGTAAACTTACAGGCTAATTGGCTGTGAAGACCAGCTGTGACTACAGTGGAAAAGCTGTTGTGCAGGAAACACCCCTATGGAGCAGGACTTGCTTCAGTGGGGCTTTGGTGCTCACTGAGTCTGCCTCTTGAGCGTGTCACTTGTGGATGTGTAGTGTTGTAATGTGCTATGATCTGAAGCTGCCCACCAGGTACACTGGCTCTAGGGCTTCCAGGGAGGTGCAAAGCCAGCCACTTCCTGGAGCCACCTGGCAGGAGCTACAGAGAGATCTGCAGATGGCTATTTCCTGTTTGTATTGGGCTTGGAGGTGCCAGGCAAAGCCCAGCTGTGAAGCAAGGCAGGCTGCTGCTAGTACTGGGTGTTGGGCCTTTTATTGATAGGTTTGGGGCATGCTGACCCAGCAGCAGCTTGAAAGATTTTGGAAAAGTCTGAAAGTCTTGGGCCTTTTATTGATAGGATTGGGGCACTCTGGCACCAGCTGCAGCTTGTTTGAGAGATTTTAGCAAAGTCTGAAGCCTGAGCCAGGACAGGCCATTCATATGGAAAAGCTGCTGCAAACAGCTTGGGTAGGGCTTATTGGATGGGACGGGGTTTCAGGGAATCACCAGGGTGGAGCAAACAGTGTGCTCCAGACTGATGGAGACTCAATTATGGCTGCCAGTCAGCCCGTGACAAGGGAAGTCACAACACAGGAATAATGACCCCTGAGAGCACCACTTTCTGGGAAAAAGCCACCCCAAAGTTCCTGCCCTGATGCCAGACAATCCAGTTCCTCCCCATATGTGTCTGGGTCCCCCAGCACTGAAGCTTGGAAGAAATAGGATCATGTAAGTTTGTGCACTCACCCTTTAAGAGGAACACCTAGGATTCCAGCCACCTCCTTATCACTCACCTATAATCCTGAAGTTATGAGGACTTATCTTCCCAGCTCTGGAACCCTGGGCTGGGTCTCTGGTGTGGAGCTGGGGCCCCTTGCTCCTCATGGGTAGTCTCCACAGAGACAATCTCCCTGCTGATTAAAAAAATGGCACACGTAGATGTCAGACCAGCCAGTTACATGCCTCTGCCCCTCCTACCAGTTTCAGTGTGCTTTTCTTCTTTACTTCTCTAGTTGTGGGATTTCCATTCAGCCAGCTTCAGGTGGTTCTGAATGATGGTTCTGTATTTTAGCTGTAATTTTGATGTGGTTGTGGGAAGCAGCGAGTACAGGCATTTACCTATACCATCATCTTGGTCCTTTCTGGGAAGCTAAGAGCATTTCTCCACCAAAATGAGTCATTATCTCTATAAAGAGGCAGAGATGAAATCCAGAAAACAGCAGATTTCAAAAGGGAAACCTATTTGTTCACTTTAATATCCATTGCATGAATATATTCCTATTTTATTCCACTCTACTGTTGGTGGACAGTTGGAGTGATTCCATTTGGGTCTGCTGTGGAACTGCTATTGGATGGTTGTGTGTGTGTATCTTCAACACTATTAAATAGTGCCAAACTGTTGGCCGGAGTCCTTCTACTGGGTCAGCAATTGAAGAGCATTCTTAGAATGTCACATCTTTACTAAAACTTCATATCTTCAGGCTTGGTAAATTTTGCCCATTCATATAGATTTTTGTAAAAGCTTGAATCTTGAATCACTGCATTTCATTTCTGACCACAGCTTATCTGATCCCAGTGAAACAATCTCCTGTTAATAAGAAAATCATCATCATCTTAGAGAACTTGGAAAAAGCTTCACTGTCTGAGTTATTGGGAGATTTCTTGGCACCTCTGGAAAATCGCAGCACTGAAAGTCCCTGTACTTTTTCAAAAGGTAAAGATTGTGGCAAGATGAGAGCATGCTGAGAAGCAAGCTCCCATGAGACCATTCTACGTTTTCTGTTTCCCCAGAATACATGCTAGACTTCATGTTCTTTCTTTGACTTATTGTAATTCGCACGTGTCCCATAATATGGCTTATTTTAGGAAACGGAATGCCGGAATGTTACTACTTTCATGAGAACTGCTTTCTGATGGGCACCATTGCCAAGGCCTGCCTCCAGGGCTTCAATTTGCTGGTGCAGCAGCATTTCCGCTGGGTGCAGCTGCGGTGGGATGGCGAGCCCATGCAGGGCCTGCTGCAGAGGTCCTTAAGAAGGAAAGTTGTGAATAAGGTAACAACCCACAGCTGCAGCCTATTGTTGGGAGCGGGGCTTTGGGAGACCTAGGCTTGGTTCTGTCTTTTACTAATAGTGTGGCCTCAGGCAAGTGCAGTGTTTGGATAGTCAAGGGTTAAATAAGAGAACGCATATAAAACCCATAAAGTTTCTGGACTGTGTTAAGTTGTTTTTGAAAAAGGCAAATAGGTTTTACCATTATTAATTCTTCTCAGGGAGTCTCACCAAGTTCTAAGTTCTGTGAAAGACTTGATTGGAAAATTACTCTTCTTAAGGAGAAGCCACTGCTACAGGGGCCTTCAGGATATTATTCATCTACTCAAGCTACTTTTAATATATGACTTAAACCTGCCACAGTAATACTAAAAAGTGACATGAAAAATTAGAATTCTCTTTTGACACATTTTATATTTTTAACATTTTTTTTTATATTTCAATTACAGTTGACATACAGTATATTAGTTTCAGGTGTACAACATAGCAATTAGACATTTATAGAACTTATGAAGTGAAGACCCCAATAAATCCACTGATATACACGTAGATTGCTTCTTATCTTGGCTATTCTATATAATGAAAG